ACCGCGCTCAACCAGTGAGCGGGAACCAGTCTCCACATGGGATCTGAACCCTCGGCAGGAGTGCCGCAGCGCTCCCAAGCGGCGCACTCTCCAGTGCGCCACCGGGCCGGCCCTAAATACATTTTCGACTTACTATATTTTCCATTTCCAGTGGGTTTACTGGGATGTAACCCCATCACAAGTTGAGAAGCATCTGTGTATTTGTTTTCTTATTTATTACCCGTCCCTCCTATTAGTCTACAACCTTCATAGGACCTTCCCTGTTCACTGTCATCTCCCCAGTGTATGGCACATGGTAGCAGCTCAACAAATATCTGTTGGATAAACAGTGGTGGTGCAGGAAACTTGGAGAGGAGGGTATGAACTCCCATACTCTTTCTCCAGGGCTTTCTCACTGGGCCTCTGACTTAATTCCTCCTCTCAACATAAGGGAGGCTGAGAAGAGGATAGGGATCTAGTGAGTAGGGAAGTCACTGAATGAGGCTACTGCCAAGGCATGGGAAATGTCTATCCATTGTGTGACTAGTAAGCACAATTACTTGTAGGTTCATGTAGGTGCCTTTTTTTCCCCCTTACTGCCCTCCTTAGTTTTTTGTGAATTTTCTTTCTCAACAGTCGAGCCTTCTAAAGAAGGTTCACAGGGGAAATGGATTCTATTTGGTCCTTACTTGGGCTGGAGAAAAAAAACAGGTAAAACCTCACAAAGAAGTCTGGGAACCACTTGCATAGCTGACCCTTCATGCTTGGAAAACTTCCCACATTTGAACAATTCTCAAACCTTCAGGGATTTTGCTGCTCAGCTTGGCTCTTGCCTCATAACTGCCCCTGTTTGTTCACCATGACTGTATGTCCTCAGTCGCATTAGTTTCAGTATTGCTCTCACCCTCCATATCCATGACCCTATATCAGCTGCCTCTGAACACTTACTACCTGCCAGGCTCTGCACTCAGTGCTTTACATGCATTATCTCACTAACACCACTATCCTGAAAAATGAGGACTGCTAGCCACATCTTACAGAATAGGGAACTGAGGCCCAGAAGAGCAAAGCAGCTTGCCAAGAGTCATATGGTCAGTTAGTGTCAGGCTGCAGTCTCTGGAGGAAAATCTCTTGCAGGTGACCATCCCCCACTGTGGCTCTGCCCATATTCTTCACCTCCCCACCCCCTACCCCTGGTCTCAGTGTCAGCCAGTGCCCACTCACCATGCTGGGTGACAAAACTGATGCAGGCATCCACTATGATGGGAATGTCACCCCGGCTCATCTGCTGCTCCTGCAGCCCTGTGCCGCCCCCACCAGCCGCTCCTCCAATGGCTGCATTCCACGCTAAGAAGTCCAGCCGGCCTTCCCCCTGAAGATACAGGGTCCTGAGACCCAAGAGGCCTGAGTCAGAGCTAGCTCCAAAGGGTCCTCCGACTGAGAGGCCGAGGGGCACAGGGACCAGACTTCCCAGAGTCACCAGCAGGGGGCAGCAACACCCAACCTAGCTGGTCTCTGAACTGGGGAAGCAACTTTGAGAAAGTGGGCAGTGGCACAGCAGGCCAGGGTAGAGGGTGATGGGCTCTAGAAAGGGGAACCCGGGGTCAGGAGTAGGAGCAGCACTTACCTTCCGGTATCCACCAGGACCAAATGCTCCTTCTTGTCTGGGGTGTCAGCTGCAGAGACCACACCTAGGAGGGGAATCACTGGACATTAACACCACCATTATCATCATCATCATCATAGTGACTACTATTTATTAGGTGCTTAAGGTATGTAGGTGACAAGCTAGAAGACTTACAAACAATGCTCCATGAAATCCCATAAGTTATGTACTATTATCCCCCATTTTACAGGTGACACATTAAAGCCCAGAAAGGTTAAGTAACTTGCCTCATATTACTTGCTATAAAATGGCAAAGCTGAGCTTGAACTCAGGTCTCTTGTCTCCAAAGTCCAAAAACATTATCCTACACTGTCCCTCTTTTAGGAGGAAGGAGAGCAGTGAGGTTACCCAGTCCCCTCTCCCAGTCTCCAACTAACAAGTGACTCCAAATAATAACAATAACATTTATAACACATAGTACTTATTGAGCACTATAAGATGCCTCCCGCCAGGCTCTGTCATAAGTGCTTTATATGCATTACCTTATTTGAACTTCACTACAACTGTCTGAGGAGGGTCTTGTTATTTTGCTCATTTTAAAGATGAGAAAACTAAGGCAGAAAGGCTAGTAACTTGTCCAAGGGCACATAGCTAGGAAGTGATGGAGGTAGGGTCTAAATCTGGGCAGTATGACTTCAGAACTTGTGCCTGAAGCCACTATATTCTGCTGTTTCCCATAGGGACCTCCAAATAAAATAGGTCCACTCCCATCCACCCCCATGGCCACCCTCATCCCTGTCACCACCCCGGCTTACTGATCTCCTGTAGCCGCCGTAGATGCACCATGTCCTCGGGAGCTGGGGGGTCAGGGCCCGGTGCTGGACACAGGAAGAGGTGGTCACCACGAAGGAGGCCAAACCCTGACAGCCAGAGGCCAGGGGCCAGTGCTGTGTGGGAGGGGGACCGCAGCCACAGGCGGCCCAGCCGCAGCAGCCCAGGGCCCAGTAGCTGGTGACAGCTCAGTGGGGAGAACCACTGCAGAGGCAGGGGAGGGTGGGGAGAGAGCAGCATGGGGAAAGAGATGAGACATGAGACAGAGAAATGAGAATGAGAGGAAGAGGGAGAAGCAGGGACAGACATGAGAAGAAAGCAGAAGAGAAAGGAATGAAAAGTAATAGGGAGAGAGTAAAGGAGAAACCCAAGGAGGAGACATGAGATAGATGGAGAAAGACAGGAAAGAAATTCAATTCAATTCAATTTGTTCCAGCCAACACTAAGAATACCCCTGCATGACAGCCTTGTGCCCTTAATTGGGGTGTGGGGGTAAGAAAGAATGAGTAGCCAAGATGCCATAACTGAGGAGTCAGGATGCCCTGGGAAGTTCCACCACCCCAGGGGCCTGGGAAGAGGCTTCATGGAGGAAGGGGTGTTTGAGGATGACCTCAAAGCAGTGATTCTCAGTTCTCAAACTACCAGTGGTAAAGGACCAGGGTTTTTTTCCTTTTTTTTTTTTTTTTTTGAAGTTCCAATTTTTCACTAACCAATACTTTCATTAAAAACTATAAAAATGAGTTGTTATGAAAAAACAAAGACATACAAGTCCTTAATTTTTATAATTACATTGAATACATAAAATTACTCTGTCAAATTGCTATAAAAGATTCTAAATGCTTACTCTCAAGTTCTGTGCTTATCCTGTCATGGACCATAACAAATATTCCATGGCCCAGTACGGTGTGACAGTCTTCAGAACACAACTTTAGGCAGCACTGCCTTAAAGGATGGGCTCGATTTTTGGAAGGCATAGATACTAATAAGAGGAGACTCAGACCTAGTTTGGAGGGGAGGGTGGGGAGAGAGCAGCATGGGGAAAGAGATGAGACATGAGACAGAGAAATGAGAATGAGAGGAAGAGGGAGAAGCAGGGACAGACATGAGAAGAAAGCAGAAGAGAAAGGAATGAAAAGTAATAGGGAGAGAGTAAAGGAGAAACCCAAGGAGGAGACATGAGATAGATGGAGAAAGACAGGAAAGAAATTCAATTCAATTCAATTTGTTCCAGCCAACACTAAGAATACCCCTGCATGACAGCCTTGTGCCCTTAATTGGGGTGTGGGGGTAAGAAAGAATGAGTAGCCAAGATGCCATAACTGAGGAGTCAGGATGCCCTGGGAAGTTCCACCACCCCAGGGGCCTGGGAAGAGGCTTCATGGAGGAAGGGGTGTTTGAGGATGACCTCAAAGCAGTGATTCTCAGTTCTCAAACTACCAGTGGTAAAGGACCAGGGTTTTTTTCCTTTTTTTTTTTTTTTTTTGAAGTTCCAATTTTTCACTAACCAATACTTTCATTAAAAACTATAAAAATGAGTTGTTATGAAAAAACAAAGACATACAAGTCCTTAATTTTTATAATTACATTGAATACATAAAATTACTCTGTCAAATTGCTATAAAAGATTCTAAATGCTTACTCTCAAGTTCTGTGCTTATCCTGTCATGGACCATAACAAATATTCCATGGCCCAGTACGGTGTGACAGTCTTCAGAACACAACTTTAGGTAGCACTGCCTTAAAGGATGGGCTCGATTTTTGGAAGGCATAGATACTAATAAGAGGAGACTCAGACCTAGTTTGGAAGGACAGACAGAGCCCTGAGAGGATACGGAGACAATGTTGTTCGTGTGAGGATTTCTAGGAGGACTGGAAAAGTGGGGTCAGAAGCCAGAGGAGTTGAGCATTTCCTACAGAGGGGTGTCGGATGCTGCAGAGATGCCTTTGAGGGGGCCAGAGGTAGCCCTTGGACTTTGGGAATGGGAAGCCACTGGTGACCTGCAGGGTAGCGGCTCAGGGGAACACAGGCAGAGAAGGGCAGCTGTGAGGGGTTAAGGAAGAACTGCAGGCTGCACACGACACTCTGAGCAGTTGTCAGGAGAAGGAGGGAGCCAGGGTGAAAAGTTGAAGATGGAGCAGAGCTTAGGGCAAAGCTGTTTTAGGATGGGAGAGATTGTCGTCCTCGTCATCACCACCACCATCATTATTATTTCAAAACCCACATATTGAGGGCTTGCAGTGTGTGGGCCTCACATGTCACTTAATCCTCAACCCCAGGGGGTGAGTCTTTTACACCCACTCTACAGATGTGGAAAAGCTCATCAGGCTGTGAGGTGTACGACTCAAATCCCAGGATGTCTGACTCCAGGGCCTGAAATTTTAATTCCGGGAATGGGGTACAGGATGGAGATTGGCTTGTCTAGGAATGGAGAAGCTGGGACATAGAAGGGAACTTTGCCTCTGGGCCTGCTGGGGGACTGGGGGCAGGGGGAGGGGAGGGGAGTCAGAGGCAGCTTCTCTGTGGGAAAAGGCCATGGCACAGTGAGGTTGGGGCATGAGCTTTGGAGACAGAGGCCTGATTTTAGTCCTGTGCCTTGCTGCCTCCTAGCTTCGTGACATTCACCAAGTGACTTCATAACCTCTGAGACTCAGTTTCCTTATGTCTAAAATATTAATAATCCTTACCTCTGAGGGCTGTTGGGAAAATTAAATAAGATATTGAGGTGGACAGTGCTTAACACAGGGCCTGACACAGAATAAGTACTCAGTCAACGTCAGGTGTTAGTGGAAGTGGCTACAGGAGTAAGAGAGGACAGGATGGGGGCAGGTGGGGACAGGAAAACCATAAGTTGTTGTGGAGGGGTCTCGGCCATCTCACTCTGCCCAAGGCACTGGTCCAGGACTCCAGACTGTCAGCTCCATCTGTGCCAAAATGCTGGATCCTCCCACCAGTGAGGATGAGCTCAAAAGAAAAGGGGAACCTGGAGAGAAAATGACATCAGGGAGGAGAATGGGGGCTGTCAGGCTGGGGATCAGGAAAAGAAAGGGGGAGCTCCATGAGCCCAGGGGGGCTGTTACCTGTCAAGGTCACTTGGGTCAGTGGGTGGGGGACTCACACCCAGACATACAACATCCTGGGGCTGGATGAGGCTGAGGGGTTCAGGGCTGCTTTCTGATGCAAACATTTCCAGAGCTGCTCCCAGCACACACCACAGGCGGGGAGGAGCTAAAGGGGAAAGAAATGGTCAGCTGTGCTGCCCCCACAGTCATAGTTCCCATTTACCAGATATATATTCTATGCCAAGCCTTTTACCTATTTATAATCCTATGTGATCTGTGCAATAACCCTGTGAGGTGGGTATTATATTCAGTCCTGTTTTGCAAATGGAAAAACTGTGGCTCAGAGTTTGAGTAGCTTGCTCAAGTCACAGGGAGGAAGTAGCAGAGCTGGGATTTGACCCAGTCTGACCTCAGAGCAGAGGCTCTTAACTCTCACCCAATGCTGCCACCTGGCATGGTCCAGCTCTCGTCCCGGCACCCCAGCCCATGCCAGGGTGTGGCCTCACTTTCCCATCCCATCCCTCTCCTCTGTGTCCCTCTGCAGTACACTCACACCCGTCCTACTTCTGCCCCTGTCTCCTCCCGTCCCTTGGCTCCTCCTCACCATCTCGGCCCCTGCGAGGGGGTGGGGGTCCAGCTTTGTTGCTGATGGGACCACAGTACAGGAAGCTGCTGTAAGTGGCAGGCACCACCACCTCATTGTACACACCGGGGGAGGAGTCTACAAGTGGAAGAAGTGATCAAGTTAGACCAGTGCAATAGGATCGCCTGACTCCCTTTGGGAAAGGGATCGAATGAAGGGAGACAATGAGAGCCAACTCTACCGGCAGCGTGGCCAAGCAGAACCCAATGCAGCTGGACCTCTCACTACCCAGACTAGAATAGAGGGTGGAAGGGGGTGATGAGACAGGGAGGCCTCTAGCCCAGCCCTTGCCCACTGCCTCTCCTCACCAGACAGCCAATCAGGCAGTAAGCTCCTGGTAGGGACCTCAGAGCACAGGCCATCCTGTGAGTGTCTTGGTCCCTCTGGCTTGACCAATGGAGGCCAGCATCATTAAGCCGACCACTTCTTTGAAAGATCAGACTGTCCCCAGGGAGATGAGACCTGACCTATTTGTTGACTCTGTCAGGGGTGAACCAGCACCTGGAACATCCAGACCCAGTCCAGGCCATGACCATCATCAGTCATCTCATGACACCAGGAAATAGGCCCTGGAGGATCTGAGGGGTTGGGAAACTGCCCAGGCTGCACTACTGTGCTGGGCCAGATGATGGGGTAATTGGGGCCCCCTGGGAGAACCAAATCACAGACTGGGGGTGAGAGTTCCTGGGGGGAGAGAGAAGAGACACTTGAGGGGATGACCTTGGGGAAGGAGGCCAGGGAAGCTGCCATCAAGGGCCGAAGGGGACCAGGGCTCCTCGCCCTCAGAGGCCTCAACACAGAGGAGCTGGGTCATGTTCTTCAGCAGGTTGGGTCCTGCCACAGCTGCACACAGTGCCTGCAGGGAGGGATGGGCCTCTGTCAGCTCCCAAACCCAACCGAGAGCCCTGGAGACAGTCCTCCGATCACCCAAAACAGCCCCCACCACCCAAGTGTAGGCATTCCAACTCAGAGACTGCTTCCCCTCCCGCCTCTCCCAGATCAGCTCCAACCTGTCCCTCCTACCTGGAGAAGCTGGCTATGATCAGGATACTGAGGGTGGGGCTTCCGGAACAGACCCAACCGGTACTTTCGGGAGATGAACTCTCCCCGGGGGCCAGGAGTCGAATCTGGATGCAGCCCCTCACCTGGGGGTAGAGCTCCTGCCCAGAAGCGGTTGGCACGATCATTTCCCAAGACAATGAACAACTGTAGGAAGACAAGGGACAGAGGTGAGTGACAGAAACTTGAGTCCCCAGACACTCCAGACCTGTCCCCAAGCTGGGCCAAGGCTTATTTTTGGATGCTCCCCCTGAATCCTTCCCACCTTCTCCCTCTTCAGACCTCACCTGCACTATCTCATTACTCCAGACACTTGTGTCCAGCTTCAGGCTTTGCACCTTGGAGATCCCAGATCCCAGGGCCCGGTGCTGACCTGTTAGGGTGTGAGAAGCATATGGTATGGGTAATCTGAGCCCTCCGACCCAGCCCCCATCCCACTTCCCATGTGGGCTTGAGGCCCCAGCCCTCACCTGCACACAGTTTGCAGATGACCACCCCCAGGTTGACAGCAGCCCAGTCTGGGCGGGAGGCCCCACAGTCTGCACAGTGCCGGTTTGCCCGATTGGACCAGATCTTCTCAGCCACCTCGTAGTCAGACAGGGTCTCAGTTACGGCTTCCTGCAGAGCCGCTGCCCAGCTCTGCCGAGCCCCCCCAGACTCTGCTGTGAAGCTAAGGGGGTGGATAGCCAAGCCATGGGCATGGACGCCCCCCTCCCGCCATGTCCCATCCCACTGGCCATTCCTGCAGGACATCACAGGCCATGTCTGGGCCAGCCCAGACCCTCCTGACATCTCTACCCTGCTCACTGACTCTTATCAGTGTGTATCCACTGACATCCTACTGAGGAGCCCTCCGGTCCTCTGCACCCTGTGCCTTCCCCAAAAGTCCCTCAGCCTTGCCTCCCACCAGTCTGAGCCCCACCTGAAGCAGCGATGGGGTGTGAGCAGGTCAAAGCTTCGACTCTTGGTCTCCCGGACACTGCAACCTTGCAGTTCAATGAAGCAGATCCCGATGCCCAAAGAGAAAGCCTGGTGGGGTGGGGGGTGGGCACCATGAGGTGGCAGAATAAACTAGGCCAGGCCCCTCAGCCCTGGCCCCGTGCTCCTCACCTGCTCACTCTTGTACAGTGCCAGCTCTCCAGGGCTCAAGGCAGCAAACACCTTGGCCTTGTGTCCGCGCAGCTCCAGCATACCTGTGCGGAGAGGTCGGGGCGGCTGGGGAGGCCGGGGGTGACCCAGGAGGCGCTGCTCCTTCAGAGAGGATTGCAGCATGGAACACCACATGTCGCGCTGAGCTGGTGGGGGACAGGAAGCAGGTCAGTGGGCTGTGTACATACACAGCCTCCCTGTCTCCTGCCCTGACCCAGTGGACCTTGGCCCTTACCCTCACTCTCTGTGCGGAATACGAACACCCTCTGGCCAGTGATGACCTGGAATTTGTTGTCCTTGCTGCTGCGGGTCATCTCAATGGCAGTCAGAGGGATCACGCCCTTGGGGAAGGGGTCCTGGGGAGAGAGCCCAGTGACCCATAGGGATAGGAACTGAGCCATGTGCACTGACTCCTGGGTCTAGCACCAGCTGTCATGAGATCAGCACTCAAATTACACACAGTGGGTACAGCCGCAAAGCCAGCAACTTTAAATGCTGACATCAATCATGTGGTGACCACCCCCTCACCATGGGTTTCCCTCCTTGCAGTCCTGAGCCTCTCTCAGCCCTTCCTCTCCTTCACCCCAGTCTCCATGTGGCATCTCCCAGTCCCCTACCTTGTCACTGCCGAAGTACATCAGGCTCCTCCCATTGAACTGCACAAAGCGCTTCTGGAAGACATAGTTTCTGAAGAGGGAAGGAGCCAAGATCAGTGAGTGTTCAAGGTTTAATGGGGTGAGGAAGATCATGGCGTCTGGAGGCACTTGGGACCTGCTCCCCCCACCTCCCAGCCTCTTTCCTTTCCCTTCCCTTCCCAGCAACCCCACCCCTGAGGGGAGAGCTTGTCTAGCCAGCCAGTGAGCAGGGGTGTGGGGCGGTCTGCCATGGAGGAGAAGCTGGCATAGGGTGAAATGAGGTCATCACTGGTCTCGATGTCCAGGGTGGGCAGTGAGAGGATGGAGTCTCCAGGTAGCTCAAGGCTGGTATAGCCAGCATCCTCCCGTGCCTCCAGATCCTGCCTGCTGAGCCTTCTGGGGACAAGACAAAGAGGGACACACATTAGACCCAGTACCTGGACACCGTCTTTGTAATTTCTCCACCTCCACCCACAGCATCTCATAGAATGCCTGGCAGGTACTGGATCTGCTTTTCAAACAGGGGAATAGGAAGGATGGGAACCCAGAAGATTAGTGTGAAGCTTCTTCCCTGAGAATGCTTGGAATTTTTATTGGAAAATTTTCAGTCCCTCTCCTCTGCCATTAGTATTATTTGCGTGGAGAAGTTGGGAAGGGCTGTGTAGATGGCTACCTGACATGGTTGCTCATATCTAATCAATTATTGGTTCTTTCTCAAAAAAGTTCTTGACCTTCGCTCCCTGGACCAAATTCCCATCAGCTCTCACTAGCATGATGCAAACTGCCTAACGGGTCGCCTGCTTTCACTCCTGCCCTCCTTCCCAAATCCATTCTCCCACAGCCACCAGGTTGTTCTTTTAAAAATGCACATGACACCATTTCACTCCCCTGCATGAAACACTTCAATGATATCCCATTTGCACTTGGACTAAACCCAAATTCTTTACTGTGGGCTGCAAGGACTCGTACGGTGAGACCCATAGCTACTCCCCTGAGCTCATCTGTGTCACTCCCACCCTTGTTTGCTACAGTCCAGCCACATGCTCTGCCCTCTTCCAGAGCCTTTGCACATGCTGTTCTCTCTGCCTACAACATGCTTCCTTCCATCTTTCCCTGGGCTGCTTTTTCTCAGCCTTCAGGTCTTTGCTTGTGTCTTCTTCACAGAGAGGCCTTCCTTGACCATCAGAGTAGATTCCTCTATTATTCTCTATCACTTTCCAGTGGTTCTCAACCTAAACAGCTCAAAATCACTTGAGAAACTTTAAAAAAATATCAGCAAATGAGCTCCATACCAGACACTTAAATTTGAATCTCTGGGAGTGGGGCCCAGGCACCTGTAGTTTTAGAGGTTGCCCAGGCTATAGTACAGGTAAGGTTGAGAACCGCTGCTCTATTTGATTTGTTTCCTACTTCGCTGAGAAATTGAAGCAATCAGACAAGAACCCTCACAGACTCCTAGCACCTCATCTACCCAATTCACACACATACTCTGCCTTCCTCCTGTGTCTATAATAAAAGTTTCCTACTTCGCTGAGAAATTGAAGCAATCAGACAAGAACCCTCACAGACTCCTAGCACCACATCTACCCAATTCACACACATACTCTGCCTTCCTCCTGTGTCTATAATAAACACCTCTGTCTAAAGCCAGGCCCTCCTCTGTGCACTTGATCCTATTCTCTCACCTACGCAAACACATTGCTTCGGACCCCGCCCCCCTTTCCCCTACATAGCTAATTGTCCCTCCCTACCAGGTCATTTCTATTCAACTACAAACATACATCCCATCCTATAAAAAACCCTTTTCTTGACTCTACTTTCACTATTAACAGTCACTTTAACTCTCCACTCTTCTTTGCAAAAAAACTCAAAAACACAGTGTATATGTTTCTAACTCCTCTCCTTCCATTCTCTCTCGAAATCCACTCTGATCAGCCTTTCACCCCCACCACTCCAAGACTGCACTTGTCAAGATCCCCAGTGACCTCCACATTGCCAACTCCAGAGGTCGATTCTCAGTCCTGTCTTACTCAGCAGCACATGACACGGTTGTCCTCTCCTTCATCCTTTACTTGGCTCCTATGACATCAAATTCTCCTGGTTTTCTTTCTACTTTACCAGCCATTTCTTTTCTGTCTGTTTTGCTCATTCTTCCTCTCCTCCCAAACCTCTCGATATGGGAGTGCCCCAGAGCTGTGATCTTGGTCTTCTTCTCCATCTACACTCACTCACAGCTACATACCCACCCAAATGCTGACAATCCCAAATTTAGATCTCCAGCTCAGACCTCTCACGCAGACTCTAGACTGGCATATCCAATGGTCTGTGTGGATGTATTACACCTCAAATCCAACACACACAAAACTGAACTCCTGGTCTACCCCCCACCCCCACCTGCACAGTCTGCCCCACTCCAGAACATCGCAGCTCCAGGAACTTTCAGTTGCTCAGAACAGTGCTGTCCAACAGAAGTCAACGCAAGCCACATATGTAATTTTAAGTTTTCTAATAGCCACATAAAACAAAAATTTAAAAGAAACCGGTGAAATTAACTTTAATATTTTATTTAACCCAATATGTTCATAACATTAACATTTTAGTATGTAATCAATATAAAAATTACTAAGATAATTTATATCTCTATCTGTTATATTCATCCAGTATTGCTTTTTTTGTACTAAGTTTTCAAAATCTAGTAGGTACCTTACATTTACAACACATCTCAGTTCAGACTAGTCATAGTTCATATGCTCAGTAGTCACATGTGGCTAGCGGCTACCATGCTGAATGGCACGGGCTCAGCCCAAAGTCCTCAAAGTCATTCTTGACTGCTCTTTTTCTCTCACACTCCACGTTAATTTGGCAGTTTGCCTTCAAAACATAGCCATTTCTCATCATCTCTACCATACTCTGAAATCTCTCACCTAGATGACTACAGTAACCCCCTAACTGTTCTCTTAGTTCTGCTTTTGTCCCCTACAGACCACAGAGCAACCAGAGGGATCCTTTTAAAATGTGACTCAAGACTGGCTGGTTAGCTCACTTGGTTAGAGTGTGGTGTTATAACACCAAGGTCAAGGGTTCAGATCCCTGTACCAAACAGCCACCAAAATAAATGAATAAAATGTGAGTCAAAACCTCTCCAACGTCTTCCCATTTCACTTTGAGTAAAAGTGAAAGTCCCTACAAGGTCCTACCTGATCTAGCCCCTTTTACTTTTCTGACATCATCTCCTACCACTGCTCCGACCCTGGCCCATCTGCCCACTGCTCCTGGATCCTCTGGTTACAAGCCCTCTTTGAAGCCTCTGTTCTGGCCACTCCCCCTGCCTGGGATACTCTTCCCGCAGATAGCTTTATTGCTAACTCCCTCACCTTCTTCAAGTTTTTGCTCAAATGTCACCTTCTCTTGGGGGAATGGGGGGTGGTGGCAGCTGGCCAGTTCAGGGATACGAACCTGTGACCTTGGTGTTATAAAGCTGAACTCTAACCAACTGAGCTATCAAATGTCATCTTCTTAATGCTCCAATAACTCTTAATGAAAAACTGCAGTCCCCCTACATTATCCCCAAGCCCTCTTCCCCTGCTTTATTTTTTCCATGGTATTCAATACCTTTTAACATACTATATAACTTATTATGTTTATTAATTGACTATCTCCTCACAAGGGCAGGGATTTCTATGTACACTGATGAATCCCAGGCATCAACATCTGCCATGTGATAGTTGCTCAACAAGTATTTGTTGAATGGAAAGATGAAAAACATTACTCCCAATTTTTAATTCTATATCAATTTATTTGTCTACTTGTTCTATTTCCTGTCTGCCCCACTGGGTCTGTTATATTCCTCCTGCATCTTGGGTGCCTAGCTGGCACACAGTGGACACTCAATGCACATTTGATGAATAACTGCACATGTGGCCACCACCAGCTCAACTGCTCCTCGAGTTTCCTCTCTCCTCCCATCACTACCCTACTGAGTACTCACCTGTGTTCAGCCCCATCCTGACAGACACCTCTGCCTTCTCTTCTGTCAGGGGCCCCTGGAGCCCCCACAGGCTGGACCCCATAGTACAGGCAACCAGGATCCATGATGTGCACTGCCAGCAGGAAGAGAGAGGAAGACAAAGGGAAGAGGAGATCGGGGGGGAGTGTCTGAAGTCCTGAAGGGCGCTATCCCTCTCATCCCAACCCATGATAACCCACCTACCTGTGCCTGTTGTGGGCCTGAGGGCAGGGGTGGGGGCAGCTGTCTGGGAGCTGTCTGGGGCCCTGAAGAGAAATGTCTATTGGTTACTAGAGGGAAAAGAGCAAGGACAAGCCTTCACGCCCTGCTCCCCCATCCCCCTCACCCCCAGCATCAGATTCCTAGGGAGCCAACCCCACTCACGTGTCCTGAGCTGCCTGTGTTCCATCTCTTAAGTCCAGGCCAAAGTAGATGGCATTGGGCACCATCTCCACAGTATTCAGGGCTGAAGGCTGCTCAGAGGAGGACGTCGGGGGAGGAGGGGACCTCGGTCTGGACTCTGGGCTCCTGGACACTTCTGGTCCCGAGAGGGCTGGGCTCAGCCCAGGCCTCTGGGTGGTGGCAGGGCCACTGAGGCCACCAAACACTGTCCTGGGCTTGGGCACAGGCTTGGGGGGCTGGGCTTGGGGGACTGGGCTGGGGGATGGCTCCATGGTACTTTCCAATTTGGGATCCAGGGAGCCCTCTGCAATGCCTGCCTGCAGGAGGCGCAGAATGCGCTTCCGGTGCCCTGTGGCGCTGATGCCCAACTGCCTCAGCTCCTCGTGGCCCAGGCCCCGGGCTGCACCCGCTGTAGCCAGGCCATGCTGCCGGAACGTGTCTGCATACTGCTCCAGGTGCACCGTGGCCAGCCACACAGAGATGTCCAGGTCCTGAGGGGCAGCCATGGGGGCTCAGGCCATTGCTGGGGGGAGGGGCAGGGTGAAGGGAGGGCTCAGGCTGAGATTTCCCCTCCCTGCTCCAAAGTCTGAGGCCTGGACAAGGGGTACCAGCCTTCAGTCTTCCTCCAAAGAAAAATGCCTAAAAGCCTGCAATCTGGAGGTAGAGCCATCCCACAACATCAGAAAGAGCTCTTTTATTACAGGAGAGTCCCTTCATTTGCAGTTGAGGAAACTGAGGCCTAGAGAGGGGAAGGAACTTCCCCCAGGCTCACAGCAAGTTGGTGTTAGTGCTGGCCCCCAAGCTCCTGCTTCCCTGGGTCTGGGTCAAATCTCTGCCCTTATCTTACTGCACACTCAACTGATTAAGAATGGGACAAGATACTAGGGATGGGCAGGGAGGGGGCAAATGACATGGCTAGATCCAGCTGTGGCATAGGTGGGGAGAGGGGCAGGCTAGGTGGGAGGAAGGAGGTGCAGACCCCACTCCCACTGGTTTCCAGAGCATGAGGTACAGGTTTACCATCCTAATTCTGGTTGTTCCCAGTTCCTCCTCCCCTTCCACCTATTGTCTCTGCTCAGACTTCCTTCCTGGCCCTCCAGCCCTGGCCACCCCCACATCCTGCCTGCCTTGGTCAGGCTGCCCAGAGAGTCCTAACCAATCCCAACATGCGGGTTTCCGACCGGGTCCTGGCCCTGGGTATAGGCCTCTTGAGGATTAGGGATGGGGTGGAGAACACAGCCAGAGACATCAGGGGCGAAAGACCAGGGGTACTCAGGGTCTTCACTCTACCCACCTGCAGCACATTGACAGGCGTGCGCGCACACACCCTGTAGGGGCTCAGGCCGTGTGAAATGACATCCCCCCTACCTCTACTTTCTCCAAGCCTTCCTTTTCTGAGCCTGCCTTTCCCCTGCCCATGTCCCTGGTCTCTGAAGCTCTGTTGCACTTGGTTATCCTGACCCTGACCCTGGCCCCCCTAGACCTATCTCTGATTCTGTCTCCTATGAGTTTTATCTCTGCCTTGTCCCTGTCCCCACCCCACTCCATCTCCACCTCTACCTCTAAATCCATCTTTGTCCCCCTCTCCTTGTCCCACTGAGTTTTAGTCTCTGTCATTAAACTTGCCTTTGCCTCAGTCCCCACTTTTAACTAGGTCTTAAGTTGCATCTGTGTTTCTGGCCGCCTCTGACCCCGGGCCACGGCTGTCTCCCTGTTGCTTTCGGTCCCTAACAAGGACTCCCTCTCGTCCAGGCATTAGTTCTGGCCTCTCTCTGCCTAGGCTCCATTCTCAAGCCAGGGCCCGGGGCTGAGCCTTGGGCCCTGACTCAAGGCCCAATCTCCCGAGTGACTCAAGCCCGGCCCGAGGGCACGGGACTGGGAACCAAGAGGTGCTCGCCACGGGACAGGAGAGGCGGGGGCGGGCCGGGCAGCGCCGAGCAGCTCGGGCTGCGGCGAAGGAGGGGGCAAGGAGGGAGGGGGCAAGGAGGGAGGGGGCAGAAGCCAGGCAACGGGAGGGAGGGGCGGGTCACGGCGGGGAGG